GTCAATAAACATTTTGAATATCAATAAAAATAGTGTTTAAAAACTAATATCTTTTAAATTCAATTGGTTCGACACCATTAATTAATTTTAACATTGATAAGTGTTTTATACGTTAACTTACAATGCAAATGTTTTTAATTAATGTCATTTTTTTATATCTTATGAATAATATGATATGTAAAGCGATCATATTGAAATTGGAACTACTTGATATAGATAAATACAATGAATACGTAAACGCAAACACAAACACAAACGAAGAAATGAATCTAATGAATTTAATAATAAATTCCCATCCAATATACACTGCACCCGAAACTATGAATACTGATCCACAAAATATTAATTTTAATTTAAACCTAGATTTTACTGCTCCAACGCCCGCACCACCATCGGAGCCATATAGATGTACTGCTCCAGTTGCTATGTATGGTATTGATGTTGTTGGTAGAACATTGAACGAAATTGTGAATGAAGCTCGTATAAAAAAACAATATTTTGAAGGTATGATATGGATCCGAAATGTAATTGAAAGCATTGGAATATCTGTGCTAATTAATTATTGTAAAATTATTTTACAGTTGTTAGCTATAAAATTTGTCAAATTAAAAAATATAATGGGTGATTATACTTTACAAATAACGCGATTGAGGTCAAAGTTTGAAGAATATATCATACGTACTGAGCCAATAGACAAATTTTTAAAAAATGCACAAAGATATTCAAATAAGAAACCACGCCCAGATACAAAAGAGAGATTTCGAAATGATTGTATTCGATTTATTAATCGTTATTCAAATTGCATTGATTTAGTGAGTCTACAAGAGTGGAATGATTTGGACTTTTCAAATAATAAAGATACACTATGCTTGACACTACAGACGATAATACTTAATAATAGATTAGTTCATTCTAATATGTAAAAAAAATGTACAATAATACAATAAAATAAAAACTAAATACATTTTTTTGAATTATTTTTACGTAAAATATTTTTAGGATTTTCATTTTGCAGTCATTTAGTGAGTGTACCTGAGTAGGATTCTTTAAATACAACAACAAATAGTGACGCAAAACCAAAAAGTTTAATATTGATAATGATTAATATTTCTAGAATATTTAAGTATTTCAATTAAAAAGAATTTAATGAAATAAAAATTATAAAAATTATTTTCAAATATTTTTGCGTAAAATAATTTGTTTTAATTATTTTTTAAATAGATCATAATTATTCGTTTATCATAATAAAAATCGGTTAAATTTTTTTACACCCATTTATTAGTATAATCTAAAAATAAGTATTCTAAATTGCATCATTATTACAGTGTTCATTTTTTTATAAATGAAACATTTATCGACGTGTCGTAAATTTTATTTGATATAATTATGATTTCATTATATTTCATGACATCATTTTGAATGAAGTTTTAAAAAATAAATATAAATAAGCTCATTCTGATCTTAAAGGTGCACAATAAATTATTGAAAATAATAAATTCCGAACTATATTGTTTACAAATCTAACTACTACATAAATAAATAATAAAAAAAAACCCAGCACAGAGGGGTCGAGGCACAGTGGTGCCGTGGTATAGTTGGATTAAATATAATAACTGACAGTGATTAAAATCACTATCAAAAATAAACGCTTCAATGCAAATCTTTAGAGTGTTTAATTTTAAAAAATTAGTGGATTATTCCAAAAGTTACATAATCTGTTAGTTCCTTATTAATATCCTGATTAAAATAAAGTATGTCGAATGAAAAAGGTATTATTAAAAAATATTATTTCTCATAAAAAAATAATGTTGATCCATACACTTTTCAATATGTCATACTATTATAAAATTAAAAATGTAAAAAATAAAGTCGAGAATTTTCACACGAAAATAGCATTCGGTAGCCATTTTCGCCATGAAGACAAGTCCAGAGGACAAATTTTTTTTTTTCAAATTAAAGTATATTACATTAACTTTAATTTAAGATATATATATAAAAGTGTCAGACCTTCCGGAACATTTTCAAAAGTTAAGTTGAAAAAGATAATTTTTTGTGAAAAAGTTGTCTTTTTAAATCCTCCTCCGTGGGCAGATAAAGGATCAAATTTACAAAAAAAATATATCAAATGATAGGTAAAGACATCAAGCATCTATAAAAAAAAAATTATATTGATCTGTTCATTTTTGAAAAAGTTACGGCACATTTTAGTAAAAAAACTTGAAAAAATTTCGAAAATTAGCCATTTTTAAATTTGTAATTGTTTTGGAGGGTTCCCCCATTTACGGGGAACGAGGGATTTTTTTTCAATTTTTAAGGGTAATGTCTTCGACTAAATACGATTTGTGATCTTTTGACGCATCGTTGAAAGAAATCCGTTCGGTGAGAGCTGAGAAAAAGTGGTAACAGACACAAAAAAAAAAAAAACACATAGTAAAACCCATCAGCTTCACATCGAAGCTAACATACATACGTATACATTTTTTTAAAATATCACCACACATTCTATGGAAACTATGATTTTCACTTGACAAAATAATATGATATGAGTCATATTTTTAAAGTAGCAAAATTCTGCTCCTTACTTTTTAGAGTATTTCTTTTATCAATTCAAAAGACTATTTTTTGTTTGAAACTTTTGAATCATCAACATTTTACGTATGTACATTAGCGTAAGGTGGTCAAAATTATAAAATAAGCTACATTTAATATTTTGTCCTCCAAAAAATTACTTTTATATAACAATGCATACAATTTTTAATTTTTTGAGGGGAGTTAAATTTTAATTAGAGGGAATCTTAGACCCCTATCCCGTACAGTGCACCTACGCATGTATCACTCCAATTGTAAATGCTAATATAAATATTTGAAAAGTATTATTCTTAGTATAAATAATTTTTTATTCATAGAATCAGTAGCGATTGGAAAATTTGATAGGTAAATCAGAGTTCAATCGTTCTAGTTTGCTACTATTACAAAGAGTGATAAAGACTAACTTTTGAAATTTACGCAAATATTCATAATTTTTGGTGAATTTTCGTACTGGTACTTGTAGAATTATTAATTATATAGCCATTTTTCAGATATTTGCAACGGGCCAGTTCGTACTACTTTTGAATTTACGTTTCTATAAGCTACTTATTGTTCATTTTATTAATTGTGTTATTAAAACTAGTCAAAAATGCATATAGTAAATATTTCTATTCAGTGTGCGCTAAGTCGGCACTTAAAATGTTGTTTGTTTTGTTTACTGTTGGCCCTAAGGAGTGTTAGGGGCCTGTTTAATAGTTGAGGATCTTGGTCAAAACCAAGAATCGGAAGCTACCCGACGTCTGCCCAAATATCGTCCCTATCTCCTTAAATGAGTTTTAATTACCTGAAGGATACACAGGCAATCGTGTACCTTAGTTACAGGGGATAGATTATTAAGAACATAGTAATAAATGTTCTTACAGTAGGCAACATTTCCTTTGTACTGCTAGTCACCGTTACCATATTCTATCGTTATATCGTTATATGTATAAGCTATACATAAAAAACAAAATGAAATAAAAAAATACAAAAATTTAGAATTGAAAGTGGGTCTAAGGGCTGACACAATATTATTTTTCCAGCTAACACGAGACGTATTGAAAAAAATTCAATACATATAAACTAAATTGGCTAGTCTCAAAGCTCCAGAAAAAAGAGATGCAGTTGTAATATTAGTGACATGGTCCCGCACCGCTTGGTGTTCCACGTAGTCCCACGACCCACGCCACCTTTATCAGCCGTCGCCATTTTTATGATAGTTTGACAGACTAATACCGCGGTACAAAGTGCAGAAATTGCCAACGACCCGCCGCAAATAATACGTTCAAGTCACCTTGGTGATACCGAACTGCCAGCACTGTTTCGACGTCAACGCATCTTTTGATTATTTGTGCTGTTTAATTCTTCTAATCTCGAACTACTGTGCAACAATATTTGTATTTGTTGTTTTTCTTGTGTGAATAAACGGGTCCACGTCGATTTTATAATTAATTGTGTCGACTGCCGTTTGTTCATCATCACCAATTCGCCCAAAACATTACTTTTAAATTTAGAAACATAAAGTAATTGAGTTCTGGTAAAATGAACTGAGGTAATAAATCCAACCTGGAATAGTAGTTCAGGACAATCATCATTAAAATTTATAATGTTGTAAATGAACATAATGTTTGCTAATTTACACCTGATTTGACATGTATCTAGGCCAATTGAGCCCACGACTAAAATCCCTGGAAATTGGTAGTTTCATCTTAAATGCAAATAATTAAAAAAAAATTTATATTCATCATTCTCAAATTTTGAAATATGGGTTATGTAGTTAGGAGACCAAAAAAGAGAATCAAACTAATTGAGAACGATATAAAGATTTTGTGCAGTTTTTATTTTTAAATCGTACTATGTTTCTATTTAAAAAACTAAGCATTTTTAAAGATTTATTTATAGTAAAAATATTAATCAATGTTTAAAGGGAGAAAATTAAGTATACACCGTTCAATAAATTAGGTTGTAAAAATTTACGATCAGCATAGCCTCAAAAACCTGTATAATTCACATCTTTGAAATGGGTTTATAATTACAAACTGTAGAAATACTAGTGGTGTTAGGGCGTGGGCTGCAAATACTATGCCGCTTACCCTGACACCTGTAAACTCTTTTAGGGAATGAGTGGACAGTATATTTGACTAAAATCGTCTGCTCACACACGACCTTACTTGAAGCCGGAGAGGTTGTCTACAGGAAACAAGAGGGTGTGTGAGACAGGCAACAACGGTAACTTAACAATGAATACAAAATTATTATTTAATAATGACTGGAATAGCAGTTATCACAAAGCTGTATTAATAAAGTACAGAATAAATTAATAAATTTGGAGTGCAATAATCTTTATAAGTGAATAATTCAACAATTGCCACTTCGGCCTAAATAAGTAATTAATATTTCAACAAACAATAAATATAATGAATACAACTCACAGTTTCGTAGAAATGTGTTTGTGCACTGGCCAGCTGCAACAACACCTAAAACTCACTTAAATTTAACTCAATTTATAACAAATACAATTAACAAGAAATATATAAATATACTCAAAATAAAATATATAAATGGTAGTTTAAATTTGTAGCAATATCTGCTCAATAATAAAAAATACACATTTACATCGAACTCATTATAAACATAAACATACACTGACTCTTTTTTCAAACTTTATCTTAACCTAATATTTACAAAAGGAGAGGAATAAGGTGGAGGAAATGACTGTAGTCCGGCTATTTGACTTGGCCTAGCTTTTAGGTGTTAGCTTTGCGTATAGAGCGCAGCACAGAACTTGTTTGAGCCGTAACAACCGGTTTTATGTATTATAATTACATAAGACCTTTTCCAAAAAGTAGAAAAATAACCAATGTTCTATTAAAATTTAATAAATAAATAAATTTATTTAATAAATATAATAAAGGATTAACTAGAACATAGCATCACTTTTTTTAAGAAAATAGGGAAATATTGTCAATACCAACTCCACAGTATAAGTTTAAAGTAGATAAATAATCACTAATCTCATAATCATATAATTGATAACTATTAAAATTTAAGTAAGAATTAATATTTAAATTAAAAACGGAGGAATAAGATAATTCTATATTGTTAAAATACATAACATATACAGAAGAGAAATAATTACCGAAAAAAGCAGCTGACTCTGTAGTGCATTCAACACTCGTGTCATTATAAATAAAGCAATCTGGTAAAATTGATTTATTTCTTTTTGTGGCTACTGTTTATATAATTCTGGAAAATCTTAACTTTATTAACAATATCATTTTCAATTTTAACTAAATAATTGTTAACATGTCGATTTAACATAATTTTACATTGCTTTCTAAGATCAGAAAATATGCAGTAATCATGATAGTTTTTACTAACTTAAAATTAATTTTTTTTATATAAATTAATTTATGTAACTGTGAAAAAGTTGTCATTTTGAATACCGCCCTGTGGGCAAGTAAATTATCAGATTTATAAAAAAATTATACCAAATGATAGGTAAAAACATCATGCATTTATAAAGAAAAATCATATCGATTTAGTCATTTTTACAGTCTGTAATAGAGTAGTCGTTGAATAAAATAAATAATAATATCAATAAGACAAAAGTGATAGCATAGAAAACTATGTCTATAATGGCCGCACAAACACAGCTGCCTTTTATTAGTTCGACGTCAGTGCTAGGGCTATAGACGAGTAGAATTGTCACATCAGCATCTCCCTCTATGCTAATTAATATGTATTACGAATTAAATAAATAGAAATTAAACATATATAATATAAGTGGTAAGAACATAGTAATAAGTGTTTTTACAAGGTGTGCTTCTGAATATATAATAGGTTCATTATTTTCAGTAACTGAGCTTGATCAACTAATGATTATTAAATTATTTTATAAATAAAAATTTCCTGATGTTTTTCTTTAAATATTTCAATAAAATAAAATTTATTTATTTATTCACTCTCAAGTTAAAACCTTTCGTAATAAAATAAGAATATTATACAAATCAAATCCAGTTAAAGACATTACCCTCAAAAATTGACAAAAATTCTCTCGTTCACAGTAATTGGGGGGAAATCTCCAAAAAAATTACAAATTTAAAAATCCCTAATTTTTGATATTTTTTCAATTATTTTCTTAAAGCTGCTATAACTTTTTTAAAAATGATCTGTTTATACTTTAACTTTAAGTTTAATTAATTTGACAAATAACTATTAATGTTATACATTAATGTGGTTAATTACCTGTCGGACGAAAGCGATTATTTTGCCTAAAGATCAACACTTTTCTGTTCACCAATAAGAATTTAATACTTTTGGTTTTGATTAAAAAAAAAAATTTTATTATTACAATAATTAAATTGCATTTATAATTAAGAAAACAAATAAAAGTAAATTTATTTTGTACAATCAAAAAAAAGAACCAAATGGCTTCAGTTGCCGAATATCAACGAAAAAGAAAGTAAAGTAAAGTAATGACAAACAATTTATCATACGCATAATAATTATAAAAGCAATAGTTGCCGATAAAACGATAAACAGAAAAACACAAACACTTAAAATTAACTATTTACAATAACAGATGACAAACACACGAGAAGGGAAGGGAAAATTTTTACAATGAGAGACGCGAGAGAATTTCACGATAACAAAGATTATTTCCATATACATTTTGTACACTAATGCATGAACAGATCAAATCGATATGATTCAATTTAATAAATGCATGATGTCTTTACCTTACATTTGGTATATTTTTTTTATAAATCTGACTCTTAAGCTGCCCATAGGAGGGATTCAAAATGAAAAATTTTTCACAAAAAATCAATTTATTCAACTTAACTTTTAAAAGTGTTCCGGAAACTGACACTTTTATATATACCTTAAATTAAAGCTAATGAAATATTCTTTATTACGGAAAAAAAAAATTTCGGACTTTATTTTGTCTTCACAGTAAAAATAGTTACCGAATGCTATTTTTGTGTAAAACTGTGTAGTTGTGCTGGTGACTGATGACAAGTCACCTTTAAGTGTGCTACTTTTGACCTAGACAGTGCTGACGGGATTAATAACTACCCCTTTTGATGGTTCACTGACTGGAGGGGTTGGGTCCTATAAGTGTACCCAATAGGACGATCAAGAAGGGCTAAAATGACAATCTTGACGAATAAAGTATTAATTAGTTGGTTTACTTTTTGTGTATGTTTACTTTGCGATACTATAAACCTATGATACATTCAAAATAGAAATTCATCATAAATTTTATTTTTGTAATACGGGAAGCAACAATAGTCTGTTGACATAAAGTCTACTTATATACGGCAATAGCTTTAAAAATAAAATCAACTCATGTTAAAAATAAAGTAACAAAGCTCTTTATTTTTATTATTTATCATTTTATACTGGAAACATGGAACGTAAAAAATACATTGACGCAATATAAAGTTTATTATAACATTAAATTAATTATTGCTTGATTTAAAATTGTTTTATTTTATGGCTATTGAATGTAAATTATCTATCACTCTGGTTAAAAAAAAAAATACAATAAATTGATTATTGACTCATGTGGCAAAATATACTTAAAATGTTTGTTAAGTCAAAAATATTTCTCATTTATCATTGTAGTAATCCGATTATAATTTTAAAATTTCTATAATGTAAAAACCAAATTAAACAGTTCATATTATTAAATTAATGTTAACGTGATATTTTTATTTTAATTGCTATAATTTTTTTCTCAAAATAAGGCTACCTTAATTTAAAGTTTGTACTTTTGTCTGAAACAGATATTTTAGTTGCAAATAAAGACAAGAATTAAGAATTTTAACATTTATAAGTGTTTTAATAGTTAACTTACCATGCAAAGATTTTTAATTATTATATTTTTTTTATATTCATTGAATAATATGATATGTAAAGCGATCGTAATGAATTATGATCTAAATAAAGATAAATACAATGAATACGTAAGTGCAAACGCGAATCTATTGGATTTAATAATAAATTCCCATAAAATATACACTGCACCCGAAACCATCAAAGCTGATCAAGAAAAATTGAATTTTAATTTAAACGATGATTTTACTGCTCCAACGCCCTCACCACCATCGGAGCCATATAGATGTACTGCTCCAGTTGCTATATATCATATTGATGTTGTTGATAGAACATTGCACGATATTGTGGAAGAAGCTCGTCAAAAAGAACAATATTTCGAAGGTATGGTATGGATCCGAAATGTAATTGAAAGTATAGGAATAACTATGATAATTCGATTTTGCGAAGTTATTAAAACTATGATAAATGGATCAACCCAATTTTTACATAATTTATTTATAAGTCAAAAAGGTAATTTAACAAAATTGAATGAAAAGTTTAAAGAATATCTTATACGTACTGAGCCAATTGATAAAGTAAAAGAAATAATTGATATATATTTAAAGAATGAAATACATATCTATTCAAGAAGTTATTATTTTAAAGAATGTAACAAAGTCATTGAACGTTATTCAAGTTGCAGTGATTTAGTGAATATACCGGAATGGAAATATCATTATACATTAACATATTACGGAGCTATAAAAAGTATGTTTAATAATTCTAGATTATACTATTGAAATTCAAATAAACATAAAAAATAATTTAATAAAATACTTATTATTATGTAAAATAATTTGCTGTAATTTTTGTATTAATAGATAATATATATTGGTTATAACTTAAAAACAATTGATTAACAAGTTAACCATTTTACGCCCATTAATTAGCAAATGTATCACGTTCGATTTATTTTCACAGTGTTAATTAAATAAATAATATGTATTATATTAATATACATTTATCGTTTTTTGAATTTTGACTTGCATGTTTTTACAATTTTTTCTTCTACCAATTCGATAGACAGTATTTTTATTTGTTCCTCAATAATTATCAACAAAATTGCACAATTATAAATTGAAAGAGCTTAAATCTGAGTGGATTGGAAGTCCTTAAATGGTCGGAAAGACTACAATTAACATTCACGTGATAAATATAAAACATTTTACACGTACAAATCGGCGCGTACATTGTCAAAACTGAAATACACAATGGCTCTCGTACATCGTTATACAATATGTTTAATTAAAAATACTACATCCCAATAATTCATTAAAACATTATTTAATGAATTATTGTAATAATTGTTTTATAAAAATTACAGATTAAAATTTATTTATACTAATAAATCATAGTAAATATAAAGTTTGTTGAGAGAAAAAATGACTTCTAAATGTAGTTCTAAGGTTAACTTTTAAGTTAAATGGGAACCAATTATTATTTTTTTATTATTAAACAGAAAATTATTTAAGTCAAATTTTGACTGATCGATAAACAGTTTTACATAACAGTACTGTTATTTTTTTATTTAATATTAAGTTTAGTTATAGACGACCGGGGTGCGGTTAATACCCAATAAAACTTTGATGGTTTTAAGTACTCAAAAGTATCCTGAATTTTTGGTTTTTTAATTTTTGTATTCATTGTATCTGTCACTACTTTTTATTAGCTCTCACTGAACCGATATCTTTCAACATTACGTCAAAATATCACAAATCGTATATAGTTAAAAGACATTACCCTTAAAATTTGAAAAAATTTCCCTCATATACTAATATATGATAATACCAGATAATTTAAAGTTGAAAAATGATAGACTGTCACTAAAAACAATAATGATAACTATAAAATATTATAATAACTAATACTATTTTAATATGTTTGTTAAGTTTATTACATCTTTAATTCCATAAATTCCGTCATAACAAACGTTAATTTGAATATTTAATTCAAATTTGAAACTACTGTTATCTTGTTAAATACGATATGCCTAACACTGACAATGGTGTTGGAAGGTGGTATAATTATTATTTTTTTATTTTTTACATCTATATGCCTCCTTTTCCACCCTTTTATTTGGATATTCATAAAAGATATAATAAAAATAATCATTGAAGAAATACAACAGGACGAGAACTATTAACAAAATAAAAGAAATACCAAGAGCAAGGTACAAAAATGAAAAATACTAGCATTAAATTTAATGTAAGAACGGCTAATTTTCTTAAAGAAATTTCTCATATAAAAGTAAACAATTATGTTTAATAATTATTGTTATTATTATTATAATTTGTTGCGAAACTACAGTCGCGTGGAATACAATAAAATCAA